AGAGAGAGAGAGAGAGAGGGGGGGGGGAACTTACTTATTCCAAGTGTAGACTTACTTCACTCAATAACTCGTGTTCTATATTAAATTTTAACAATTCAACTGTTAAAATAAAATTTCTTAATATACAAAATTATATATCAAGTCTACAAATTTTAAAAAATTTGAAAATCATGTGATATTTCGTTATATACATTCTAATTAACATATAAAATATTTTTATGATTATTCATTATTTTGAATTAATGATATGAAGTACCAAATAATTTTCATAAAAATTTGTAAACTTGATTTATGCATTAAAAACTTTTAAGTCACACACACATAGAGATAACAAACTATTTGGACTTAGTTAAGTAAATTAACCAAATATCAAGTTCAAGTTTATTTAGTTATCACACACACATGTATATAACAAACTATTTAGTCCATCATGTTTTTAAAGTTTGGACTTAGTTAAGTAAATTAACCAAATATCAAGTTCAAGTTTTTTTAAAACTTTAACAAAAAAATTGATCAGTCAAGTCCAAATAATTCATAGCTTGACACATTTACACTATTGCTTGTAAATGTGTTAAAGGCAAATTTGTTGTAGTTCCAAAACATCAAAGAATGCAACTCAATTTTGAGATTTAGAGAGAAAGACATCCTAAACGTCACAAAACACTTGTTGCTAATAAAAACTTCTATTATTACTGATATTTTAGTCTATGCAATGTATATGTATATTTATTGTTAAGTCAGACGAAGCAATTCCCAGCAAGGTTTTGAATGAGACAAATATAATACATGTTATTTCTAACAAGTGTGTTAGTGTTTCAGAAAAACATAATTACAGGCAAGTTGTCACTTCCTATACCAGAATCAAGATAAATCAAAAAACCAGATGGAAAAGTCAACGAAGACAAACCTAGCATAAAAAGGCAAATGATCAAGCTTTAGACGATATAAACCACAGACAAAAGCTTCAAATACCAAACGAAGATTAGTCAAAGCAAAGCATACCACGAGGATTAGACAAAGAAAGTCAAATGATAGATAGAGTACGACATGAGCGCCAAATGATGATAAATCAAATATTAGACGAAGGTTTGTCAAGGACAACCTAGAGCGCAACATAAGAACTTAAACGAAGGTTGGTCAAGAATCAGAAGAAAGTCAACAACATATCAAACGAAGGACAGCACAGACTGAAAAGCATTCCAGATGGAAAACAAAGTCTGTCCATCTACAATGTTGACCAGACCAAAGAAAGTCAAAACATTAATGACTAATGCTCAAACGAAGATCAAGACTTGAGATGCACATGGACTAACAGACACAGACGAAGACTGCCATGAAAGCTTTTGAAGAATCAAGTCTCAAGGGACAACTCAGGCATCATCTACGATCATACAAAAGCTCTCAATAAGATCGCGCGTTGAACGTAAGAAAAGAAAAAGAAGAAATACAAGTGCAAAAGTAAAAGCATGCATGTGTCAAAAAAAGTATATCATTTTTTCAGATAAAGAAAACGCCTCTACAGCTACGCGACCGGAAAAGGACAAAAAATTCTTAGTTCTCAGTTAAAGTCAAATACTGCTGCTAACAAAACGAAGAAGACTTCACGCAATGTCTATAAACAGGAAGCAACATTTAATGCAAGATCTTGTGCATTAAATGAAAGATTAAACTAGTCATGAACGACTACATCCTGCTTCAACAGGCATTTGCAACGAGCAAATTTTACAAGACTATATATATGTCATGACTTCAAACCTAGAATGGTTGGCAAAGAGTGATATCAAGCCCATGAAGCAATGGAACCAGAGACAGAGCTTATAGAGTTAAATGTACAACATTGTAGTTATCTCTGAAGATTAAGGAGTTCTAAGTGTAACTTAGGAACATGCACCTTAGTGAGTGTAGCAAATATTTGTATCCTCTCTGTGAGAGTAAACCACACACTCAAAAACAAACTATATATCATTTGTAAAGCCTGAAAATGCTAGGGAAAGAATTGGAGAGACTTGTCAAAGAATATTCACTAAGAGCCTGAAGAGGCTGAACAAAGAATATTAGTGCTAATGAGTGAAGTTAGCGGGCCAGGAGTGGTCGATAATCCTCACTAAGAGGTTGAACAAAGAATACTAGAGCTAATGAGTGAAGTTAGCCAACCAGGAGTGGTTGAGAATACTCAAGGACCAGGAGTGGTCGAGAATATTCACTGAGAACCTAAAGAGGCTGAACAAAGAATACTAAAGCTAATGAGTGAAGTTAGCCAACCAGGAGTGGTTGAGAATACTCGGGGACCAGGAGTGGTCGAGAATACTCATTGCGAGCCTAAAGAGGCTGAACAAAGAATACTAGCGCCAATGAGTGAAGTTGGCGAACCAGGAGTGGTTGATAATACTCGGGACCAAGAGTGGTCGAGAATACTCACTACAAGCCTGAAGAGGCTGATCAAAGAATACTAGCACTGACGAGTGAAGTTGGCGAGCCAGAAATGGCCGATGATACTCGGCAAACCAGAAGTGGTGATAATACTTGTAGTTCATTGAATATCTAGTGGAACCCTTCAATTGAAAGAGACTAGACTTAGCTCAGTCTGAGCGAACCAGTGTAAAAATCCTTGCACTACTTATTTATGTTTCAGACACAATTTCTCTTAACTGATATATCATATTGAAAACTTCATCCAATGTTTATTCTTCACTATGACTCTTTTTAGACGCAAAATACAAGTGCTTAAATTAATATTTCTTAAGAAACATTTTCCTTGTGCAGACGATAAACTTTCAAACAGAAAATTTTTTGTTAAACCAATCCTGCACAGTCCTTAAGTATTCAAAATAATTTTTATTGGATGAAAAAGGATCTCTCTGCGAAAACGATGTCAAAATTTCTTCGTTCACACACACATATTCAACCCCCCTTCTATGTATTTTTCGTCTAACTTCATTTATTTATATATAATATAATTAAAATTTACGAAAAATCATTTATATTGTAGTATAGAATTACATTTATTCATTGATAATTATTTTAAAATATTAATATTTAA